CCTCCCACCACCACTTTTACAAGCTTTCCTGCTCCTGGCTGCTGGGTGTGTGCCACCACTCCTGCCTTCTCCATCTGGCTTGTTGTGAGGAATTTCCCCTCCCCTGCTCTTCAGTGCTCAGGGCACCCCGCCCTCTTTGCTACATGTCTTTTTTGTTGTTATTGCTTATTATTCAGTTTTTTCTTTCTCTTTTTTCCCTGGGTGGGGGGTCGGTCTGTCAAGGGGGCTATGCTGATCTAGCCCAGGGTTGTCTGTGGGAGTACCATGTGTCACTTAGCTCACCTTGTGGTCCCTGCCTTGGGACACCTTGTGGTCTGCATCTTCCCAAGCCATCTGGGCACTGCCATCTGGTGGGGCGCAGGAGCCCTCCTGGTTTCTCCATTTAACATGAAGTGGGAATGTTACATGCGGGCTGGGGGTATGGAGGAGTCAAAGTTTTGCCTCTTCTCAGTGGTTTTTCCTGTAAGGTGTGTCTCCAGCATCTCTCCAAGATTTTACCTTAGGAGGCATGCTTTTTGCTTCCTCCCTCTAGCCACCATCTTGGAATCTCCACTTCATTTCTTTGTATTGCCAAATAATAGTCCATTGTATGAATATAACACATTTTTTATATAACACACTGTACTATCTTATATTTTCACCTTTTTTAAATTCCTTTTTGAGTATAACTATTTTAGTGGGTCTGAAATGTATCTCATGTAGCTTTACCTCATGTTTACTTGATGGCTAATGATGTTGAGCATCTTTTGTTTTTTAGTACTGGAGGTTGAACTTCTTGAACCATGCCCCCAGCCCTTTTCTCTTTGGGTTACTTTTTAGATAGGGTCTTGTGTTTTTTGCCCTGACTGGCTTGGACCATAATCCTATTACCTACAGTCCACTGTGTAACCATGATTATAGATGTAAACCATTCTGCCCAGCATGATGTTGAACATCATTTTGCGTACTTTTTTGACCATTTGTATTTCTTCTTTGGAGAAGTGTCTATTCAGATCCTATACCCAATTTCTAATTTGTTTCTTAGTTGTAAGAATTCTTTATATATTTTGAGATGTCTGTTATCAGATAAATAATTTACAAATTCTCTCATTCAATAAATTGGTTGTCTTTTAACTTTCTTTTTGTTTTCAGAGAAATGCAGCAGTATTTTATTTATTCTGTCCATCAATAACTCATTTGAAAACATTTACAGTATTAATTGAACTTAATCTGAAAGAAGAGAAACTTTTAATTTTTTAGATATTATACTGAATATTAATAAGGGACACAGTCAATATAATTATGATCCAAATTATTAAACCAAAAACTTACAATAAATCAGTACTTAATGTTAGTGTATTTATACACAGCTCAGTTTTTGCTGTAACATTCTTTGGCTGCAAGAAAGAACATTTGGTTTACTTCACTAACAGGAATATCTTAATGCTGGGATGGCCTCTTCTTTGTAGTCCTGCTGTTAATTTTTAGCATAGTTATCTGTGATTTGTGAATGGAGTTGAGAGGAAAGACACTCATGCCAATTTCAAGTAAGAGTACATAACTCGTTACTATTTATAAGGAGGTACACAGGTAATATAACTGCTCAGTATTTTTGAAACCAATAGGTTAAGCCTAAGGAGTTTAGCCAAGATTCAGGAATAAAAGCCCACACAAGCATGAAGACAAGCTGAGAGCTTAAGAAAGGAACAAAGCCATAAGTTGCTCGTTCTGGCAATTTGCCGTGAGGAGTTTTCCAACATCTCCCCTGTGACTTTGAACAATCTTGAGGTTGAGTCTTCTGTGTAAGCACAGGCCGGAGAGCCACAATGGGAGAAGAGGGAAAATTGAAGAAAAAATCCCAGGCATGATGGCGACCCTGGTCAGGTGGGAGCCTGGGTGCATGGAAGCAGGTGATTTAGCTCACTCACCACAGAGCTTTCAACTTTCTTGATGGTGTCAGTTGAAACACAAAAGTTTTTTAATTTTGATGAAGTTAATTTGTCTACTTTTTCTTAGGTTGATTGTGGTTTTGGTGTCACATCAAAGAAACCATGGTATAATTCAAGGTCACAATGATTCATGCATACGGTTTTCTCTAAGAATTTTGTAGTTTTAGCTCTTATGTTTAGATCTCAATCCATTTGGAGTTAATTTTTGTATATCTTTTGTATATCTATATCCAGTAGTACTAGTATAATTTAATGAAAAGATTATTCATTAAGTATGCATGTTACTCTTGTCAAAAATCAATTGGCCATAAATGTGAGGTCTTATTTCTGGTCTCTGAATTCTATCTCATTGATCTATTTCTCCTGTGTCAGCATCGCACTATTTTGTTTGCTTTATAGTAAAATCTGAACTGAGAAAGTAGAAAATGTGAGTTTCCAATGATTTTTTTTCTTTTCCAAGATCAGCTTAGTTATTCTGGGTCCTCTGAATTTCCATGTGGAAATTCTATTTTAGGATCAATTTAGAATCAGAAGCCAACTGGTATTTTGATACAGATTGCCTTGAATCTGAAGATCATCTGGAGGAATATTGCCATCTTAACAATACTAACTCTTCTATTCAGGGAACACAAGATGTCTTTTCATTTACTTAGGTTGTCTTCATTTTTTCCAAGAATGTTTTGTAGTTTTCAGAGTTTAACTTTTGCATCCACTTTGTTAAATTTATTCCTAAGTATTTTATTATTGTTTTTAAAGCTTTTGTTAATGAAATAATTTTCTTAATTTCATTTTCTGATTGTTTAGGTTATAGAAATACAATTTATTTTGAATATTAATCTTTGTATATTACCCTACAATCTTACTGAACTCATTTATCTGTTCTAATACTCTTTCTGAGGATCTCTTAGACTTTCTGCATATATGACCATGTTATCTTCATATAGATATACTTTACTTTCTTTTGAATCTCCATGGCTATTATTTCTAATTGCTCTGGTACAATGTTAAACAGAAATGGTGAGTGAAGACATCCTGGGAGTGCGACATTCAGTTTTTTGTCATTAAGTAGGTTACCTGTGGGTTTTATTTTTTAAATATATATATGTATATATGGTCTGTATCAGATTATGAACATTTCCTTCTATTGCTAGTTTTTTTTAGATTTTGTTTGTTTGCTTGATTGTTTATTTTATCATAAATGGGACTGAATTCTGTCAAGTGTTTTTTCTGCATTTATTTAGATAATAATGTGATTTTTGTCCTTTGTTCTATTGATGTGGTATAGAACATTAATTGATTTTCAGATATTAAAACAACCTGGGCCTATTAATTTTCTAGGGTTGATATAACAAAAAAACATAAGCTGAGTGACTTACAAAACAGAAATTCATTTGTGTCATAGTTTAAAAGTCTAGAAGTCTGACATGAAGATGCTTGTAGGCATAGTTCCTTCTGAGAGCTGGGAAGAATCTATTCCATGCCTCTACTATAGCTTCTAGTGGTTTTTATATTTTGTTGTTGTTATTATTGTTTCTTTGTTTGATTTTTGACAGTACTGGGATTTTAACTCAGGACCTTGCACTTGCTAGGAAAGCACTGTAACACTGAAGTCATGCTCCCAGCTCTTTTTTTGCTTTGGACATTTTTCAGATAGGGTCTTATACTTTTTTTTGGTCTGGGCCATCCTCAGTTTCCTGAGTAGCTGGGATTGCAGGTATGAACCACCATGCCCAGCCACTTCTAGATATTTGCTGGAAATTTAATATTCCTTGGTATATAGTCTAATTACCCCAAAGTCTGCCTTTATCTTCATAAGGCATTTTTCCTATGGGCCTGTCTGTCCAAATCCCCCTTTTTAATAGAAAGATGCCTGTCATATTGGATGATGCCCATCCTAATGAGTCCATTTAACTTGACTAATTGCATCTACATCAACCCTATTTCCAAATAAGGCCACATCTACAGTAGTGGGTATTATCTTTAACCCATGATTTTTTTTGGCAGTACTGGAGTTTAAACTCAAGGCCTCACACTTGCTATTTAGGCACTCTAACACTTCAGCCATTCTACTAATCCTTTATCGTTTCGGGTATTTTCAAGACAGGATCTCAAGAACTATTTGCTCATCCTGGCCTTAAAGCACAATCCTGATCTCTGCTTCCCAAGTAGCCAGGATTAGAGGCATGAGCCACCAGCACCCTGTAACCCATGAATTTTGAGGGTCACAATCCAGCCTGTAGCAGTTGCATTCCTGGTATCATTCCATTTTTTTTTGTTCCATCTCTCATATGCTGCTCAAGATAGAGGCTATAGATATTTCTGAATGCCAAGATTAAGTAGACATATAGAGTAGAAGTCACAAATTGGGGGTCTGAGGACTCAATTCCTTCCATAGTCCCTATTTTGTATGGCTTGCATAGTGTCAACAAAAATAGTAAAACATTCAATTGTTAGTATTTAAAATTGAAGAGATTTTTCCAAAGAATTTTGATTACTAACATTTCCTGGAATAAAGTCAAAAGATTCTATAACAGATATTACCATGTCAATTGGCTGTTTCTGCAGGGCTTTGCCTTTTAGATGGACTTGAGCTACTCAGTTCACCATAGTCCTTATTATTCCCATTCAGTATGTTTCATTTAGTTAATTACCTGCCCTTGAGCATTTGAGTACCAACTTTGATTGATTTATAAGCTCTAATCATAGTCTTCTCATGCTAAGAAAACACAGATGTCTAGGTATTATTTACACATTCAACTAAAGCAAAACAGGAAGCCTTTTCCTCACTATTTTGAATGAGATGGCCTTCTGATTCTGAGACTCAAATGTATTTTAATATTCAAGATTTTTAACATCAAGGACTTTGAGTGTAATTGACTGTAATTAGACAAGTGAGTAGAATATTGCCAAACTAAATTTTGAAAAACTGGAATTGGGTAGAAATGCTGAATCTCTTGAAGTTGTAAAGATGGCAATAAAAAGAGGGGATGGATGTAGATCACAGAATGCTCTATAGTCAGGAGTATTTACTTGAGACTACTTAGTAGTCCATTTTCTCTTTCTCTCACTAAGATCACCAGTCAGGGTCCTCAGGTCTGGAAGACAGAAGACATTCCAGCCAATGAACTGTCCATTGCATGGCAACTACCCCAATATGCCTTGGTTACAGCTGCAGAGGTCATGTTTTCTGTCACAGGACTTGAGTTTTCTTATTCTCAGGTAAGATTTTGCAAGTGGGAGGTAGAAGTGGAGACACTGCTTAAAAGATAGTGAGTTTGATTCTGGTAGTGCCTTAAATAGATATGTGATTCTAGCCAAGACCTCCATCTCTTTTGCCATTGGGTTCCTTATATGTACCCTGATAGTCATCTGACTCCCAGGATCATTACAGTGCAGCATAGGAATCTATGCTATTTGGGATCTGGAAAAAGAACACTTAAAGATGAAGACAAAGAGCTATGGAGTCAGACTACCCACATTTTCAATATTGTGTAACTTTAAAAAAGTAATTGGCATCTCTCTAATGGGCTGTTTGGGTTTTTTTCTTCTTTATGTTGTTTTTCTTTTCTTATATTTTAAGAATACCAGTAGAACATATCTCATGTTTATAATAATGATTACATGATGTAATGAATTAAAGTATTTAAGACCTCCACTTTAATACTTACTGTTAATATTACTGCCATCCCTGAATGATAGCTGAACTTAGTGAGGGAAATTGGAATCTGGAAGTTTTTGTGGGACAAGTTTCCTGGATAGACTCATGGGGTAGGAGGGTGACAAAGGTTGTTCATTTGCTTACAAACTCGTGTCCTCTCTAGGCTCCATCTAGCATGAAATCTGTACTCCAGGCAGCCTGGTTGTTGACAGTTGCAGTTGGGAATATCATAGTGCTTGTTGTGGCACAGTTCAGTGGCCTGGTACAGGTAAGTATCTGAGGGAAACAGGAGTTCATATCTATCCAAAGTTTTCCTTCCAACTTCTTTTATCCTATCTCTTTGCCACTCATACCCTCATCTCATTCACTTCTATGGTATGAGATGCGCTATATACACAGACTTTACCAAGAAATATGTAGGTGGTGATACTGACCACCATACACTATGTGAGAAGAAGCCAGTGAACCCAGTGTTCTAAAAATAGTCGGTTTAAAATGTGATCTCTTAATCAATCTGCTTTCCAGTCCTTACCCTGCAATGATCCCTTCATTTTCAGATTTCTTCATGTTCTTCTCTCATGTTTCTTTCTCTCTGCAGTGGGCTGAATTTATTTTGTTTTCCTGCCTCCTGTTGATGGTCTGCTTAATCTTCTCCATCATGGGATACTACTATGTGCCTGTAAACTCAGAGGATATTCATGAGCCAGCAGATAAGCAGATTACCCAGATCCAAGGAAACATGATCAATCTAGAGACCAAGAGTACAAAGCTCTGAGACTTCTTGGACTGACCCTGGCCCTGGTCTTAGCCATCATTTATCTTCAAGCATTTTTTTCTTCTACTGGGTAGAGAAAGGTAGTAGAGAGGTAGTATCATATCTGAGCTTATCTGCTCCACCATTCTCCCATAATAGAGGTAATTCTAGGACTGACTTACCAGTATATCTTTAAGCATGGCCTCAAGACTCTGTGTATTCCTATGTATCAATGAACTCAGTAAACCTGTATAGAGTTGCTCAAAAAGCCTGGTATCTCCAAATGGCCATGAAAATACATGTATAATTGAGTGAAGTCTCTTTGGGTAAGTTATAGGAGATTCCTTAACCAGGTACCTGCTATTTAGAACTGATGAATCCGTTTTCTGAAGTGTTGGTTTAGGGGCAAAAATACAGAATAATAGAGACATGGTGTTTCAAATTTCTTTATCCACAGTGTAATTGTACTATTCACAAGGAGCTCAAGAAAGTATTAAGAGCCAGGCACCGGTGGCTCATGTCTATAATCATAGCTACTCAGGAGGCAGAGATCAGGAGGATCATGGTTCAAAGCCAGCCCAGGCAAATAATTTGCAAGACCTTATCTCGAAAAACCCTTCACAAAAATAGGGCTGGTGGAGTGGTTCAAGGTGAAGGCCTTTGAGTTCAAGACCCAGTACTGCAAAAAACAACAAAAAAAAAACCAGGATTATGGTATGATCAGGTCTAGGGACTAGCTTGTCAGCTATCCAGGTTTGGTAAGAACTTAGATGGTAGGAGACATAATGCCATTTTATTAATACACAGAAGATACATCATTCTGATTACAGTATTTTAGCTACTCACTCAAATACCTGATAGATCCTGAAAAGCATAGTAAAGATAGTAAACATGGTTGTGGGGAACAGGAACAAGTACAAATTGTAGAACTAATGAGCTGTGCATTCTTCCTCAGTGCACATTCTTAGGAACTATGATGTTTCAGGCCTGAACTACACCCTTCTGTGAATAATGTTATAAGACACTAACTATAATTTTGCAACCCTAACATTTTCAATATTGCCAGGGCAGCCTTTTCTTATTATTTCATCTTGTCTTGCTTATTGCAACAAATCTTCAGTAACCAAATGTTTTTGTAAGACTAACTTCCTTTTTAAAATTTTCCTCATAGTTTCAAAGTATTTGTTTTGAAATTTTTTCCTGTTTTCTTTCCCTATAATTTTTAAATGTCATTTCTTCCTTTAGTCTTGGAAATTTTCTGTTTATCTAAAAGGGTAACACTAACATTCTAGGTTTAAGTCTCTAGATGTAATAATAAAGGGCCATGATGCTAGATGAGGATCTCAAAATCTATGGAGCTAGGGAGTGCAGCCCATGAGGTTTCTGCTTGCATGTGTGAATGAAAAAGTTGGGAAACAGGACCTTGCATACAATGAATGAATTGGTGGACAGACCTGGGAATATCATGATTGTGCAATAAGTTGCTAGGGAACCTCATTTCCATTCATTTTACTCCATTATTCTAATCCAGAGCAGTGTTTGTTAGGTCTCACATGGTTAATAATGTAACAAGTAAGAAAATTTGCTCCAATTCCCCAAGCTTTATATCCTTTCGTTTTAATGACCAAGGTTTCAAAAGTTCAAAAATGGCAGCAACACAATCCAGTTTTCCCAAATGTATTGATGTGAACATTTAGAAGACAACTGTTCATTTTTAAGAATCTTTAACCTAAACTATTTATGAATTTTGTTTCAAGAGCTGTTAACACTGTTTTGTGAATAAAAGAGTCTATGGACAAATAAACTTTGGGAAATGAGGCATACTATCCTCTTCTTAATATGTGCATAAAGTCTGAGATGTTCTGCAGCAAAGTCACAAGGCACGCACTTTGTTTAACCTAACGTGCTGTTAGTGTTCTGCAGAACACTTGTTTCTGTAAAACTGTTAGGCAGGTCTTCCCTATGCTGACTAAGGACTTCCTCTTTGAAACTTCCTACTATTGGTTTTTTCCATTATGGAATAAGCATAACCCTCTTTTTTCAGGTTGCAGTCTTTTAGCTTTTGGGGAGAGCTTTCCTTTAGTATGAATTTCTTACTAGTCATCAAGGTAAAGATTCTCCTTCCTGTAATGGTTTCTTACAAGGCACAATGCAGTCCTTTCACCATCCTGGTTTCTCTCTTCTAAAAACAATTGTCCTCAGGGGTACCTGTGGTTCATGTTTGTAATCCTAGCTACTTGGAAGGCAAAGATCTAGAGGATTATGGTTCGAAGCCAGCCCCAGGCAAATAGTTCAGGAGACTCTACTTCGAAAATATCCAACAAAAAATGGCTGGCAGAATGGCTCAAGTGGTAGAACACCTACCCAGCAAGCATGAAGCACTGAGTTCAAACCCCAGTACTACCAAAAAAATTTCTTTACCTGAAATACAACAATTATGATTAAGATACCTTACTATGTGATACTTGGAGCCAAATATAACATTCCAGAAGTTGTCTGACCAGAAGAGATAGCACCTGCCATTCCCTAAACAAATTACTTCTGTTAAATTAGGCAAAGTAATATTCAATGTCTTTGAAAACTACATCAAATTGTAGGCTTGCCTTAAAGTTTTTAAAGAAAGCTCTTGTTCATCTACCTACAACTTTGAGTTCTACTATATGTCACCCATTGAGTTATCTGTTGGAGAAACAAAAGATAAATAATCCTCTATATCTGCCCTCAAATTTGCCTTGTTTATCTTGACTGATTGTGAAGAGTCTGAAGAGTTGAAAGGCCTAGGGGAAGTAATGAGGAAGACAAGAGTAAGGTGCAAACTGGTAGAAGATGTGGTCAGAGCAAGCTAGGTATCAGATTATGTGGGGCCTTGTGACCTTGGTAAGATATTTTGAGGTTATTCTAAGTGAGAAGTGAAACCATTGGAGGTTTAGAAGATGGGAGTGACATAAATTGATTCTCAAGATTCATCTGGCCTCTGAGAGAATTGTTTGTAGGCAGGAAGGAATAGGAAGAGGAGTCCAGTTGGAAGAATTTTGCAATAGTCCAGGCAAAAGATGATTGTAACATGGACAAGGTGTTAGGAGTGGAGTTGGAAAGCAATGGTTTGACATGGAACTGAACTTGAAGATAGAACTAACATAATTTTAATGTGGCTTGGATATGCAGTTTGAAATAAAAGAAAATCCTAGACTCCTAGATTTGTGTTTGAATAATGAGGATGAACCACCATGTAATATTTTGGAAGAAGAAAAGCTAGGGTAAGAAAAGTTTTGGGGTGTGAAGTAACTAAGAGTTTTATTTTGAGCATGTTGAGTTTCAGATGCTAATGGTATCCAACTGGAGAAGCTAAGATGGAGGTTTCATATTTGAGTATGAAACCCAGGTAATAGGTTGGGGTTAAAATATAACTTTGAGTATCACTAGCATAAAAATAATATTTAAGGCCACGTAACTAGATGAGTTTTCCTAGGAAGTGAATGTTTATGGAGAAATGGTTCAAGAATTGAGCCCTGAGGTCCTTCAACATTAGAGGTCTAGGGGGAAAGGAGGATGCAGCAAAGGTAATGAGGTAGGTGACCTGTGGAGTAAGAGGAATCCAGGTGAATGTGATTTAATATGACACATTCTTTATTATCATTAGATGAAACCAATATGAAAGAATAATCTTTGACCTAGTTTCTGTTAGCAAACTTGGTCTAGTAATTTCTATGAAAGTTTACCTCCTTCCTTTTTCTTATACAATAAAACTCAATTTTATGCTCTTTCCTCTCTCTCTCTCTCCCCACAAGGCAATGTGTCAGGAGCTATGGGATAAGTAAACAGTTATAAATAAAGAGTCTTAAAGAAGATATGACATGTATATGAATATCATCTAAATAAAAATAATAATAGAATACTTTTGATTTGTTTAGCATCTTCCTTTCAAATGAATTATCCCAATCCTCCTTAATGAAGATAGAATGTGACCCATACCAAATTCATAGAAAGAAAAGATTGCTTCTGGCCATTGGAGCAAGAGAAGGATTTGTGGAGGGGCTAACATTTTAGGCTTGATTTTTGACAGTGACTAGAGCATGGACATGAAGCAAGGGACAAGATAGCATTCCAACTAGAGTTCCTCACAAGAAAGATGAAGAGACAGACAGGAAAACATTAAGTGTAATTGGAGAAATGATAAATAATCTGATCTGTGTGCAGCATAATAATGGGAGATAAGTCTAGAGATGATGAAGTTTAATAATATGCTAATATAATAGATCCAAGTAAAATGGATTCAGTTTTGATTCATTCCTTAGCTACCACTCTCCATAGTTTCTTATTTCAATAAATAAAATCCAAGCTATTTAACCTGATGTATAAGATCCTGTATAGTCTGGCTTTTGCCTAGACTCACCTTTATCATTCTCTGTTGCTTTGACCTAAGCTATAACTGCACTAGCCATCTTTGCTTCTCAAACGCGCCATTCTTGTTCATGGACAGGATCTTTCCTCCATCTTGTTAGTTGGCTATTCTTGTATTTAGTTCTTAGGTCATCTTTTCATCCCTGATCTCTCAAGTTGAAATAACTGTCTAGCATAACATGTATAAATACGAATTGCTGCAGAAAGAAGGGCAATGGAGTCAGTTCAATGAACAAATATTTACTGAGCACTTGCTACGCTCCAAATGTACTGCATACAGAAAAGACAAAAATGAATGAAACACAGTTCTTGCTATCTATGAGTTCAAAACTTTTTCAATCTTCAGATTTTTTTATTCAAAAGATTGTGTATTCCAGCCAGGTGCAGTGGAACATTCCTGTAATCCCACAATTTAGGAGCCTAAGGGAGGACAGAATCTTGAGTTCCAGACCAGTCTGAGCTATGTACTCCACGTTGTCTCAAAAAAGAAAAAAAAAAAAGAAAGAAAACTCCACAAATAAAGAAACAAAACATTGCCTATTCCCAACTGTGTTATCTGCTTCTCAATGATTTTATGTCTGTTTTTTAACAGTCACACTTTTGGATTCTTTCTTTCCATA